AGAAATGCAGACAGATCTATTTGATGACTCACTGATGGATCTTAGAATGTCCTCACCAGAATCAATGACATTGGTAACTGAAAACAGACCACTGTCCTGTGATTCTCCTGTTCCTGAGTTCACACCATCCACATGTTCATTTTTCATACCAGAATCAGATTCACTATCAAAGTCCTCAGTCTCTTTGGGTGATGAAAATGAATTATATCCGTCAGACCTTAGTACAGGGCAAAGACCTGACTCTCCTGAATCAGTAATATCAGAAATTGAGCCTAGACCAGTTTCCCCTCACTCAGTAAGTGATTACAGACCAATGTCACCTCATACAGCAATGTCGATGGTAGATCATGCATCTCAAGAATTCTTTACATCATTGGAAGAGTGTAGAACATTACCTCCAGACTCTGTTCCACAGTTTTCTTGTATACATAAAATATCCCCTATAAATGTACACCGATCAGAGTCCTCTGAGTCACCTACATCAGAGACAGACATTGAACTTTGGGTAAATGCATCTCAAGCTACCGAACAGAGACCTTCCTCACCTGAATCAATCATGTCCTTGAATGAAAAAAAGACCATTATCACCAGACTCACCTATTTATGACTTCAAGTCATCATTATATGTAAATGTCACCCCAAAAGCCACATACAGATCATCCTCCCTAGAATTAATTGTATATGGTGTAGAATTTGACATGGCAAGCTTTGCATCTGAGGATGATACATGGACTGAAAACACCTTATCTCCTGCATCAGGTAAAATATATCCTGTGGATCAATGTTATATATAAATAGAACACAATCACACTGATGATCAAAGACAACAATCACTTGGCCACGAACTATCCAACATTGTGACATATCTGCCATTACACAAGACTTTCTGAATGGTGCCTCAATATAAACTTGTGTACAAAGCTGTTCCCTTAGCATTAATATCCCAGTTGTATGATCCTCGATATAGAGGCAAAACTTTCTGTCCTAAGCCAGGTGTGTTTGAGTATTCTGGATGTAAAAAGATGATTTTGAAGACTTTTCCTAAAATAAAGGCAAATAATGAATGCACTGAGCAACACAATTATGACATTTCCAACAGTGCTATATCTTATAGTGAAACTTCCTCACCTTTTGATACCCGTTCTCTGCAATCACATATGCAAACAGAATCATTGGATATATTTATTTTTTAAATCAAGCATTTTCCACTGATTCTTTGTTTTATTGTACAAGTTTAAATGCATGTCTAATGGACTCTTCAGATAGGAGAGCCTCTTCACCAGAATCATATTCATCTGTAAATGAGTACAGGCAACTCTCTCCTGAATCACCAATTCCTGAGCACAGACCTTCATTACCATGAGCAGAGTTTTTGGTCGAAGTCGACCCTTATCCCCTGAGATGATTTTTTCAGGGAATGAATTTCAAAGTCTTTCACCAGATTCACCTATACCTGAATACTCAACACCATCACCACTTCCAAATGAACATACATCTGAATCTAGTGAGTTATTCATGCAACACAAATCCATTTTGAGTCCACCGTCCCCTTCAGTGTGTAATGATCAAAGTTCTGATATGGGCTCAGTGTATCCTGAATCATATTCATCATGGTACCCACTGCCACAATGGATCATGTCAGAAAACAGACCTTTATCATCTATCTCCGATTTTTCAAACACTGATTCTAGATCTTTATCACCTCAAATGTTCTGTCTTGAAATAGAATTGCGAAACCCATCACCCGAAGCAGTAACATTTGACATAGAACTAACTGAAAATATTACTCCAGATCCTTTCGTTTTTGAGACATTTTATCAACCCAAATCACCTGAATCAGTGATAATTGAATCTGAAGATGAGTTTTATGACAATTTGAATGATTTGTCTTTTTCTGACATTGATAAGATTAAGAAAGATTTACCTGTCTTCAAAAATGATTCTGCTTTGCTGAATCTAGTGACATTTGACATTTGCATGGAACAAATCGAGTCTCCACATGAAAAAGATTAGCTTCAGTCTGTTTCTGAAATTAGGATTGAGTGTTCATTCGATGAAGGACTAAAACCAAATGCATCTCACGATATAGCATCTGAGCAAACACAAAAGAACACACAAAGTGTAACAAAGATAATTACTTACTGTGAAGAACAGGACATAATCACAGCAACAAGTGCATTTGCAAGTGAAGAAACTAGCAAAAGCCTCAAAATCCATAAAATAGATGAAAAGAGACACATGGAAAGTTCACAGCAACAAAAAGAAGATCTAGGACATGATTTAAGAAAACTGGCCCCTCAAGATGACAAAAAAAGGGTAAGAAGTTGAGCATGCAGCTGTCAATATTGTGCGTTCATAACAATGTATCCCAAGAGGAATGTAGTGTCATGTCTGCCCTGAAATACAGATTTTTTTAGTTCTGAATCTACTAACAAATCAAGACTAAATGGACAACTCTTGAGGAGTGTGCAGTTTACAAGAGTATGGTCAATTTTGAGAATGTTTACTAATTCACCATAATGGTTTTGATGTAATTTTAAGACTGCTGTGTTTGTAATGAGACTTATTATCATCTGCATGTTTATTAAGGGATATCCTTATTATGCATCAGATGTTAAAGCATGTAATTTTTTTTCAGTCTTTCGATACAACAAAATGTTGGATTTGTTTTAAGTAATTCACACAAATAGGGAGAAACATTGTTTTGTTTCCTTTCATTTTGCACAGGACAGTGTCTCTGAGGACATTCATTTAGTGCCTCAAGTAAAAGATTTAAGTCTAAGAAAAGGAGATACACCATCAATTTCAAGAAGTTTAGAGCCTCAACTAAAGTTAACAGCATCTTTGTTGACCAGTGAATCATCAAAAGAGCCATATCTAGCCACATGTGTCTCCAGTATACCTGAGCACAACAAATCTCAGTCCGACCCACAAATCCACTCCTGATTCATCACCTGAAGAACCTAAAGCATTAAATGGATTGCAAGAAGTAACTTATTTTCAGTTTCATCTCAAAGACTCTCACAGAAGGGTTGAACTAAATCAAATGGATTCCTCTGTGTTTAGTTTGGGTCTTGAATCATGTGATTATAAAAATGTGCCCTCAAGATCTGTGAAGACACCATCAGCATGCACTCAGGTGCCACTTGCTGATTTAAGTCCCATTCCACCTATATTTAACACATCCTCTTCTGATCAAGGGAATTCTCCAGAATCCCATGAATCTCTAGAAAAGAGAATATCGTGTGCTGCAAGGACTGTCCAGCTTTCCCCATATTTCAAATGTGTCATTTCTACATTTGAAAAGGCATCACCATCATTAGGTTATGATAAGCCTGGAACTTATCCACTTGTAGCTTCTATGACACCTTGTACTTTCGAAGTGACTCGGGAGCTCAAAGCCATTGTAGATGGCTACAAAACTGACGGGTGACCAGATGCAGTTAGATGCCACTGCAGTTTTAGATGCTGACTCTCCACTTTACAGTCTTAATCTTAAAGCCAGGCCAAGACCTGTTCATGCAGATAGCACTGAGTCAGATGCTGAGTTTTTTGATCGCCGACAAACGTTTTCTGATACATCTGAGCCAGAGGTCAGATCATCAGAAGTTTTAGATGTTCCTCAAACAATTTACCACGTTGAGGAACTTCCATCTTTATCAAGCAGCCCTGAATAGCTGACAGGCATCTCTAAACTTAGAGAGCACACACAGTTGAAAAATGATGAGCGGCCCTTATCCTGGGCCAGTGAGGACCAACCCATAGTTCTTGAGCCAGAGGAAGAATACACTGATGAGGCTGGTGAGGAGAAGGGTTTATCTTACGATTATACAGGTGATCATTCATTTGCTGAAGAGCTACCTCCAATAGAGGGAGCACAATATGATGACAATGATGACTGTCTAGGAAGGGTAAGTGATGTGACGTGGCCAAGTATGATTACCCATACTAGGAATTAGTGCTCTGCATTTAACCCATCCTAAGTGCACACACACAGCAGTGAACACCCACCATGTTACGAGTCCGACTCTCTAACCATTAGGCCACGACTTCCCCGTAAAAAAGCCCGTAAAAAATTGACATTCACGCTCAGTTTCTGAAGGCAGAGTGTTGTAACTCTCTGGCCTGTGCTAACAAACTTACTCAAGCCCTAATGGAACATTTCAAAACATTTCAATACCAGCAAACTAATATTTGGTGTTTTGATAAAAAAAAATAAACATAGTTTATATGTGTGCACCCATTGCTTTCACTTAGCTGAAGTAACTTAAAGTGTTGGATATAATGTGACAACTGACAAACAGCAATATTATTTTTTTCTTGACTGCATGTTAATGGAACTTCCGGAGTACAGGCTTTGCATGGTGTGACGTGCAAGTATATGAGATATACGATACTACTTAAGACATGCCACCACAATGCACCTCTGCTATTCTTAGGAAATAGCTGAAGAGGTTTGCTGTCTGATAGTTCAGAGGAGGAGGTGTTGACCACCAGGGTGGTGCGGTGCAGAGTTATAATTCAGGTACCTGTTTTGAGTGTGTGCACTGGTGTCATTGGACCCACATTTCCATATTTTGGTGTGATATGGAACATTGAAAGTGTTTTCATTTGCTGTAACAATGATGAAAGACAAATATATATATATATTTTTTAATTTCCCATATTTTCTTTCAGGACTGAAGTTAACCCTTTCCATAAGCATTATTATTTTCACTCTCATAGTTTGAAACAAAAAAGAAAATGTTAGTATATGAATTGTAAGTGAATATATAGTAAATAATAAAAAATATATATAAACAAAAACTCTGACTGTATATCAATTTCTGTGAATGTGGGTAGAGTCAGTTACCATTATATTCTTACAGAAACCCTAATGGGTCTCATTAATGAAACAAAACACATTTCTTGTCAATAACTTGTTCAATTAAAACAGGTTTTATAAACACATTAATTAATTTTGCTTGTGTTACATGTATGATTTTTATTATATTTTTTAGGGTGACGAGATGCCCGAAATCCCTCCTCAGGCTGTGACAGAAGAGAAATACACTGATGAGTATGGAAACATGGTGGTCAAAAAGGTAAATGCTTTAACTTTCATCTTTTCTGTGTCTTTTCACAGATTCAGTCAGCACTATGTAATGTCCATATTTGCCCAATATTTGTTACAGTTGATGAAGTAAAAACCCTGCAGCATAATAATTTTATTTGGTTAATTGTAGGTTGCCTTTAAAATAATGCATGCTATTTGAAAGTAATGTGAATTACCTTAACATTTACTGTGAAAATGTCGATTATATTTTCTCTAAATAGTTTAAACTTACTTTAAATAGTGTTTATTGCTGTGATGAAGTATGAACATTGGAGCGTTTTAGTTTATATTTTAGGTTCTTTACCTAATGTTTAATGGATTATTGTAGTGTCATGCATTTTTTTTTTTCTGTGATTGACACTACGCACTGGTATCTTCATAGCCATTGCTTAGTCTCAGCCTCAGGCCTGTCCGCTACCACCGCTACTTTATTACAAGAGTACCCTACTAATCCAGGGACAATAATTGAAAATAATAATAATTTAAAAATTAATTTAAAGATAATATAATAATGTTGTGTAGTATTTAATACTATAGACACAGACAGTTTTACTCACTGAAAGATTTATTCGTCATAATATTCGTCAATTATTACTTAATAATTGTATTCGAGTCTTACACACATGCTATACAGATAATGTAGAAAGAGTCTTGCATTCATTTGAGTGATGACAGCTATTATGGGAGTGGCTTGATGGAGCGCAGATGGAGCGCAGATAACATGATTTTGACCCTTAAGAAACTTTCATTAATGCTGTCACGTAACAAATCTGTTCAAATATAAAATTAAATGAATTGCTAATTACTACATTGAAATAAAAATGTAACGCCTGTACAAATATTAGAAATCGTGAATATAAATAATTGGGAATCATGTAAAAAATTTAAATAAAATAAAAACAGAGCACATTTCATTTATCTATTATAACATTTATGTAGTTTTGTCAAGTTTTTTGTCAGGTGTCTTTTTTAATTATATGATTACGTTGCTGTCTTGCCGCCAGCCAGCATTGCTGATCGTGGTTCCGAGTATCGATACATAGCCCCTTTTAAACCAATCCATAAATGCGCAATTATCTCAGATAACTCAATCCAGCCATACTAATCATCAACAACAGGTGCGTTTGAAGAACTCAGGACTACAATCGAGGCATTTGATTGAGTTTAGAAACAGCACTTATTGATATAGTGGACTTTGTGCTTTGTAACTTTGCAGGTCTTTTTCATGTACAAACAGCAACATTACGCACTAAAGGAAGTTGAAAATGTAAAAAAAACAAAAACATAATAGGACCCCTTTAAGATGACAGACTGTTTTCACAATTTATTCATAATTTAAAAAAAGTTATGATGCTAAACCAGAAAATTTGGGGTTTTAAAATATAAGAGACTATGCAGGTCAAAATGTCATTGTAGAGGCATGTTTGTGTGAAAAACCGCCCTGCTTTGTAAGCTATAGCTACAGTGTATTATTTTACTAACATCTCATACTCACTTGACCCATTTCTAAGCACCACCTCCTTTACTTTTTGCATGCTGATAAGTTTTTTAGAACATCAGATTTTCAATGCAATTCAGTTTTTAAGAATGCATTCAACATAGTATTGTTCCTGCATGTACCAGCCTACACCAGCACAAATTTGTTTGTTAGTTCAGGCTGGTGTATACTGGTTTGCTGCTGGTCTAGCTGGTAGATCAGTATCTATAATTAAACTTTATAATTCACTTTTTAGTGACTGTTGCCTCTATTCTGACCTGATTTAATGTATAAATTAATTAAAGGTAAATTAACAATTATTTAACGTAAAACTATAATTGCCTCAGCTATAAAACTGTCCAAACACATATGACTTCCACATTAAGATATCTTATCTAATAATATAGCAGACAGTCACAGCTGCTAAAGTAGGATTGGTCAATAAGGCTAAGTGATATGTCATTTGAAGTTATATATTTGTAATATCTGGAAAGTGTAAGTAAACTGTTATTCAAAGGAATGGTAAACAAGATCAACATGTAATTAACTAATCATTCAATTTTAAAGATGATCTTTTCACACCAGTTGTGATTCTGCAATGTTGATTTGTAGGACCCGGATGCATAAGACACGCACTCAGAAAAGCACAGTAGTGAAGGATGGCCAAGCCAAACAAACCCACCTGGAACGACTGGAGGACAGCCCAGATTCCCTGCGACCCGATGACCTACAGCAGCAGCTGCTTCAACGCTGCTGTACCCCAGAGGTGACTGAAGGGCAAGATTCAGATGCAGGAGAACAGGACAAACAATAAGGCACCACCTCCTGCTATGGGTTGTGGTGGGCATTTAATAGAAATTTCTGCAAATTTATGTCTGTAGCCCTTTATAATAACACAAAATAATTCTTCACTTGCTTACCAGATCCCCTATTATTTATTGCTTGCACTTTTCATTCATGGCAAATAATGGAAACATTTTAACTGCATTATGGCTGAATGTCTTTTTTGTTTTGTTCCTGACTGAATTTATTTTCTCGTTTTGTGACCAAAGATAGTGTTATCCGAATTGCTGAGTGATTTGTATGAAACTGAGATGTTTTTGTGTGCGTACGTGTGTCATTTTGGTTGCTGTGGTATTGTAGAAGCAGAACTAAACATAATAATGGAAAATGAATATGGGTCAGTTTGGATGCTGAGCTCATTGTCTAGCCACTAAAGATGTGAACACATTTGTAAATAATGGACTTTGAAAATGTTTAAAAACACTGTCACTCTTTTGTCTCCTGTAAGTGCTGTACAACTGCATCAATGGACTGCTGTAATTAAAAACATGTCAGATTACTTGCTCAAAATCTCTCAACAGACCTGATAAAATATCACCATAATATCTTTGGGGCATGTGAGTTTGTAACCACAGTTAATCAAGAGCAAGCAATCAGCTATCTGATATAACTGGCTATGTATTTATACTGGCTATGACTGAGATTTAAAAGCAACAAATACATGTCATGCTGTAGTTTTTCTTAATCCCAGAATGCTTCTGAATGGTTTTTACACAGATTACATGAGAATTTATCAGTTTTAAGTGGATGAAATTGCTTGGTTTTTTTTTCTCCATGTTGTCCACTATTAAGGTATTTCATAGTGAAAGAATGCTGTCATTATCTATACATCCATTTTGTTCGTCATTGACCTATTTGTTTTCACGAGTAACATTATGTGTCTAACCTATGTACAGAATATGTATGTGTGTGTTCTCAGATCACTTCTGATCACCACAACTGTGCTTGTGGGCTTGACTTGTATCTTCCCTGTTTGTGATGATCCTCTAGGTCAGGGGTAGGCAAGTTCGGTCCTAGAGAGCCGCAGTCCTGCAGAGTTCAGCTCCAACCCT